TATTTGAATGAAAAAACATTAACTTGAAATTGACAAAAGACTTAATGTAAGAGCTAAAACTATAAAACTCTTAGAAGGAAAGGTAGATGTAATTCTTTGTGATCTTGGATAGATAACTTTTTAAAACATAACGTCAAAAGCACAAAAAAATAGGTAAATTGGAGTTCATCAAAATATAAAAAATTGCATCACCAAAGAATACTATCAATAAAGTTAAAAGACAATTCACAAGTTAGAAAAAATATTTGCAAGTCCTATATTTGACAAAGGGTCTAATAATAGACTATTTAAATCAATTTTGCAATTCAAAAACAAAAGACGGCAACCCAATTAAAAGTGGGCAAAGAACTTGAACAGATGTTTCTTCAAAGAAGATACACAAATGGCAAAGGAGCACATGAAAAGGTGCCCAGCATCATTAATCATTAGGGAAATGAAAATCAAAATTACAATGAGTTACCACTTCACTTCCACTAGGATGGCTATAATAAAGAGAAAAAAAGGAAAATAAATTTTTGTGAGGATGTACACATTTGAACCTTTGTGTATTGCTGGTAGGAATGCAAAATGCTGCAGCTGCTGTGGAAGTCTGGCAGTTCCTCAAAAGGGTAAATGTGGAGTTACCATATGACCTAGCAATTCAATTCCACTCCTAGGTAACTATCAAGAGAACTAAAAACAGAGGTACACTAATGCTACCTTTATAGTCGCATTACTCATCATAGCCCAAAGTAGAAACAACCCAATCCCCATCAACTGATGAATGGATAAAAAAAAAGTTAGTGCATTCATACAATGGAATATGAGTCAGTCATAAACAGAATGAAGTAATGATAAATGCTACAACATGCATGAATCTTGAAAATATTATGTTAAAAAAGCTAGTCATAAAGGACATGTATTATATGATTCTATTTGTATGAAATGTCCTAAATAGGCAAATCCATAGTAACAGAAATTAGATAGTGATTGCCCAAGGCTAGGGAAATAGTGGAATGTGGAGTGATTGCTTAATTGGTAAGGAGTTTCTTTTGGGGGGATGATGAAACATTCCGGAATTAGATAGTGGTGGTGTTGCTTGCACAACATTGTGAATATACTAAAAACCCCTTGTACACTTTAAAATTCTTAAAGTGGTGAGTTTTTGTTTTTGTTTTTGTTTTTTTTTGAGATGGAGTCTCGCTCTGTCGCCCAGGCTGGAGTGCAGTGGCTGGATCTCAGCTCACTGCAAGCTCCGCCTCCCGGGTTTACGCCATTCTCCTGCCTCAGCCTCCCGAGTAGCTGGGACTACAGGCGCCCGCCACCTCGCCCGGCTAGTTTTTTGTATTTTTTAGTAGAGATGGGGTTTCACCGGGTTAGCCAGGATGGTCTCCATCTCCTGACCTTGTGATCCGCCCGTCTCGGCCTCCCAAAGTGCTGGGATTACAGGCTTGAGTCACTGCACCTGGCCTAAAGTGGTGAGTTTTATGTTTTGTGATCTTTATCTCAATTTAAAAAAATCCAAAATGAGGATAAAAACCAAGAAAGCAGACATGGGATCCAAGAAACAGGAGATACATTGGAAAGAGTTAGGATGATAGTGAAGGAAGTTCCTAGATGCCCACTGTGCATGGAAGATAGAGAGCAACTATTTCAGTGGCTTCTGGGAGAATATGAAATTGATATTGCTCCTGATGTGTTCAAAAATATTGAGAGGAGATTTCGAAGATTGGGGAAGAATCTGAGCAAATATAAAGGAAATTAAGTGTATTCATTTGGGTTTTCCAGAAAAACAGAACCAATAAGAGAGTGATGGATAGAAAGATAGTCAAACAGATAATCGATCGATTGATAGATAGATAACAGATAGATGGATAGATAGATGATAGATGAGAGAGAAGGAAAGAAGGAAGGAGGGAGGAAGGAAAGGGAAAAGAAAGGGAGAAAAGGAGAAAGATGAAAAGATAAAGAGATTTATTGTAAGGAATTGATTCACACAGTTACAAAGGCTAAGAAGTCCCAAGATCTGTATTCAGCAAGAGACCCAGGAGAGCTGATGGTAGAGTTCCAGACTGAGTCCAAAGGCCTGAGAAGCAGGAGAGCTGATGGTGTAAGTTCCAGTCCAAGTTCAAGTCTGAAGGCAAGAGAAGACCAGTGTTCCAGCTCCAAGATAGACAGAGAAAGAAAATTTTCCCTTTCTCAGCCTTTGTTTTATTCACTTCCTCAGTGGATTGGATGAGGGCCACCCCATCAGCAAGGGCACTCTGCTTTACTCAGACTACAGGTTCAAATATTAATCTCATTCAGAAAACCCCTCACAGAAATGGCTAGAATAATGTTTAACCACATAACTGGGCACCCACGGCCTTGTCAACATGACACATAAAATCAACCATCAAACTAAGTCAGTTTAAAAAATAGTCCAGTTATTAATTTCTCAGAAAACAAATAGCTGTGCATATCTTATGTGGCTCAACTGAGAATAGCATTTATATTTGTATAGTAATAATATCAATACTAAATATTGAATTAATCAAAAATTTGACATAAGTATAACTGGAGTTTGAGGGGAAGAGAAATGTTTGTGTGTGTGTGTGTGTGTGTGTGTGAGAGAGAGAGAGAGAGAGAGAGAGGAGAGATGATAATGGTGGGGCAAAGAGTATAAAAGAGCTAAATCCTTATCTTCCATAGTGGGAAGTCATTTTATGCTGCCTAATGCTGAAAATCACAGTAGTGCTAAAAATCATATGTTATTTATTGATATGCAGGTGAAAACCAAGAGCAATAGTTAAAAAAGCTGCAAAGGTAGCCTTTTAGGAATGGAAACTTGAGGTTGTAGGTGGGGAGCAGGGCATTATTTTGGTTCAGCTTGATTTTGGTAATAATTCTGGTAAAACAATTTGACTGCATAAGTATGCATGTATAACTTTGATTAAAATAAAAATCTAATTTTAAAAATGTATGGTATATGGAGTTGGAGAAGATCAAATAACAATAACCTACTTTTCCCTGCTAATGTATTGTACTGTATGGACTCCAAGTTTGATTAGGGGAGACAAATTCTTTCTGCATGGGATCACATAAGTATGTCATGTGTATCTGAGTACATATGTCTGCACACATGTGCATGTGTGTTCATGGGCATAATAAGATATGCCTATTCTTACGTGTGCCAAAATGAAGAGAGATATATTCATACATATTCATACATATTCGGATATAGACTGGCTTGTAAGCAGCAAGAGAGTAAATAATGTGATGCTTACAAGAAAAGATAAGAGACAACTGAAAGTAATGGAATTCATTAAGGAAACCATAAGCAGACATTAAGTTTTTAAAAATCTAGCTAAACAGCTCTTCTTTAGAATGTGAAGGCATTGCTAGGTGAAATAATTGAGGATATGGAAATGACTACTTTTTTTCTTTTTGCTTTACACTCATTTTCTATAAATAGAGAAATATAATTATCATTGTCAAAAACAATGTATTATTCATTATATAACTTATAAACATAATTAACAACAAGTTCTTGTCAGTTTCTGGAACAAATCAATGAAAGAAACGCTGAAGGGAATAAATATTTAAATGCCATCTGATATTTTTAAAAAGAAAATTTGTATTCAAAACATATAAATTTGGTTGATTACAAATTAGCAACTGTTTTAGAAGGATTTGTGTGGTAGCATAGCATTGGAGACAGTTGTATCCTCCTAGAAATAAATGAGCTTTGTTGAGATAGAATTCTGGAAGGGAAAGTATACAGCTGATTTTAACCCTGGAATCTCAGCTCTCCTTGTCTACTAAGAACCACCTGGCACAATTCTCAGAGGAATAGTTTGGCTTAGACTGGATAGAGATAACCAACGGACTCACTGAGAAAATCTAGACCTGAATGATTAATGAAAACATACACGGTGGCTCACGCCTGTAATTCCAGCACTTTGGGAGGCCGAGGTGGGCGGATCACCTGAGGTCAGGAGTTCGAGATCAGCCTGACCAACATGGAGAAACCCATTCTCTACTAAAAATACAAAATTAGCCGGGCATGGTGGCACATGCCTGTAATCCCAACTACTCGGGAGGCTGAGGCAGGAGAATCGCTTGAACTCGGGAGGTAGAGGTTGCAGTGAGCCAAGATCGTACCACTGCACTTCAGCCTGGGTAATAAGAGCAAAACTCCGTCTCCAGAAAAAAAAAAAAGAAAAGAAATAAAAGAAAACATATACGTATATGTTTATACAATAAATAAGAAAAAAAAATTAGATATAAACTCTGGTGTTAATCCCTGGCTTATTCTCTCTGAGATTGTGTTACAGCAGCAGTCCCCGACCTTTTTGGCATGAAGACAAATTTTTTCCACAGACCTGGAGTGGGGGCATGAAACTGTTCCACCTCAGATCATCAGGCATTAGTCAGATTCTCATAAAGAGCACACAACCTAAATCCTTTGCATGCACAGTTCACAATAGGGTTCGCGCTCTTAAGAGAATTTATCTAATGTTTTTGCTGATCTGACAGGAGGCGGAGCTCAGGCTTTAATGGTCACTCCCATCACTCACCTCCTGCTGTGTGGCCAGGGTCCTAACAGGCCATGGGCCAGTACCAGTCTGCAGCCCAGGGACTGGGGACTCCTGTATTATATCCATCCTTGGCCTATTCTTTTCCTGGGTGTCACACATTTCTCTTGACTTATAAAGGAGATGACCGATTGTTCACCCTTATTAGAACTTGGTTAAAAAGTCTTAGTACTTGGTTGTGTTTTCTACAAAAACCATGTTTATTCTGAGTGTTTATCACTGATTTCTAGAATAGGCATTGTTTGCCACCAATGTACTTGGCCAGCACTGGCTATGGGTGTAGGTTCCGTGAGTCTCTGTTCTGGCTGTTCTGCCCTGTACTCTCAGCTCTGATGACTGCGTGCTTAGCATACTGTAGGCAAGTTTAAAATTCTTTTTGGAGGGAAAAATCATTTCTGACTTAAAGCTAGAGCTGAAATCATCCCTCATTGTATTTAAACACAGGCACCAAGATGTTTTCTCTGCAGCACCATTAGACATCCCTCCAGGAGCAGAAATTGGGTGTGACACTGTTCAATATTTTCAAGTTTGGCATCATCTACCTCTCAGAAGAGACTTGAAGAGGTAGTTTAGCCTGTTGTCTTTTCCTCTTTCTAAGCCGGACTGCACTACTAAAAGCCACAAACTGAACGGAAGAATGAATATATAATGCCAGCCGTTGGCAATTTCTCCATGGTGGCATGCTCAGGTGTCCATCTGTATTTGTTTATCCTGTTCTCTCTTCCCATTTCTTCTGGTAAAAAAATCCCTTTATAGTTGAAGAATCCATTCTGTGAGATTTGGAAGGGTCAGATTTTCCCATCTCCCTACCCACTGAGAAAGAGAAAACATGTACGTTAGGAGTTTGGGGGCTAAAAAAGTGGGGGAAAGCCAATATGGTTGGGGAATTCATTCTCAGGACTTTGCCCAAGCAAGTTACAGAAATAGACAGCATCTCATTTGCTTTCAGGACATGTGTTAGCACATATGAAATGTTGATATGTCTTCATTTTAATGTCTCTCTACTACTTCCTATGTTTATGTTAGCCTACCCCAAGTGTTTCCAAACTTCTCTGATCATCAAAATCACCAAAGGAGCTTGAAAGTGAAGATTGACAAAATGAACCCAAATATTTTGGAATCATATCTAGGAAATGGGCTTTTTTCAGCAGCTGCCCAGGGAGTTCTTCAGATGAACCAACTTTGGAATTTATTGTTCTGCATACAATGTGGTGTCCATCCGTGAAATCATTAGTTAAGTGATTCTATCTCTGACTGCTGCAGAAAGGCAAACACTTAACTGGCCACATATGATATTTCACAGTACCACGTGTTTCTGCTGAAAGGTCTGCCACTTTCAGCCCAGACCAAAGAGAGTAGAAGGAACTCCACTCCCCACTCCACAGGGCAGGCTGAACCCAGGACCAACACTGATGTTACAGAATAAAGAGGCTTCAATTAGAGCACAGAGGCAACATGCTACCAAAAATAAACCAATTAATTAATTAACAAATTAATAAATAAAACCCACTTCAGGATAAAAGTAATCAGTGGCCAGTGTTTTGCAGGCTATATTTGAGGGAAGTAAAATCACTGTATCACTGAAAATGTGTATAATTAAAGTGAATAGTGAGTTCACTCACAAGCTGAGAATGAGGGACCCTGCTTCAAAACAGACATCTCAAGACAGATGAACTTGGAGCAAGAATAGAATAGGATGTACCCTAATGATCAGCAGATCTTAGACTAGCCAGAGAGATGAGGGAACCAGACTAGACCAGAATGGAGAGCCCTCTTTTGGCCACATGGGGTGGCCAGCCTCTCAGATGATACCCAATGATCTTGCCCCCTATATCTGCACCCTGGTATAGCCCCCTTCAATGTTGTGCCTGGTTGCTTTGTGTGACCCATAGCAGATGACCTAAGTAATGACACGTCACTTCTGAGATTCGGTTGAAGAAGGGTGCAGCCTCTGTCTGGGGGCACTCTCTCATTTGTCTGTGTTGTCTCTGTCTCGGATCACCTGGCTCAGGGGAAGCCATTCTGTAAACCATCCTATGGGGAGGCAGCTTGGGGAGGAACTGATGTCTTTTATCAGAAACCATGAGAGTGAGCTTAGAAGTGGATCCTGCACGTTCAGTGAATCCTGCGGCTCCAAGTGACAGCTTGACTGCAACGTCATCTGAGACCCTAAGCAGGAGTCGCCTTGCTTGGCCAGTCCTGGATCCCTGAACCCTCGGAAACTGTAAGATAATAAATGATTATCATTTTCACCTGCTGAGTTTTACCGGCATTTACCACACAGCAATAGATAACTAATACACCACGCCAACTTCACCGTGAGAAAGTCTGTACATTTATTATCAGAAATGACTCTCTATCTTCAGAACTTGTAATTTATTGATGCTTTAGTCAATTATGTCACTTAAATTCTGGGATGTTGGTCGGTAGTTCTCAACCCATTTTTGTCATTGTCAGTCTTTTATTCCGCAAACATTTGATCATCTGCAGTACCAGCTCCTGGTTTAAGCTTTATGAATATAGCAGTGAGCAACAGTGGCAAAGTCCCTACCTCATACAAGCTTCATGCAAAGTAAATGAATACTTTAAAAGGCAATTGCATTTTATGATAACATGCACAGAAAAAATAAACAGGTGACCTGAATGAGGGTAACTAGCTATAGGGCTGGAGTGGGAGGCGACTTCTCTTGATAGGGTGGGAGGGAAGGTCTCTCTGCAGAGTGGCATTTGCTGAGATTGAAGGGTGAAAACAGCAGGCCGTGGGAAGGGGCAAGGAAAGGAAGCCCAGGCAGAAAAAGTCAAGAACAAGGCCCTAAGCTGGCAAAGGGGACCAGAGAGGACCTCCTCCCTTCAAAAGCACATCCGAACCCGTTGGCTCCACCTAAGAGGCTCTCCAAGATGTGGTGCCCAGGTAAGTGGCCCTTTCCCCTTCAGCAGGTGGCTAATTCTAGTTTCCTCTCCCCCAAACACCTGGCCCTTTCATGAAGAGCGATAGGAAACATTGCTCATAGATTATTTTATTGAAATGTTGTATAAGCTAGAAAAGATATGATTATTACTGGATAGTATTTGGGGATCCTTGAATTTCTACGCCTGGCAGTTTTATAACAAGCAAATCTTATATCTTACCTTTCTCTTTACCGGGTTATCTCACAACTTTGGAGACGAATGGTATTTTTGGGACGATCCAGATATATTTTTGTCGATACTTCTCAATCCACAATCTTTACCCAGCCTCTGGAGGAGACAATCCCCACGATTTCAGTCCCTAGTCCAATATCCCACATCTTGCTGTGGTGAATGAATTATAGGATTCACCACCAGGGTGGACATGCATCCATTTGTCTGTGTCTCTCATTCTTGCTGTCCTAATTCCCTCATTCAGCCCATTTTGTGAGTCTTGTTATGCTTCCTAAGGAAGCTTGCTTAAACAGAGCCTCCATTCCTACGAAATGCAGGTGCTGAGCTCTGAAGGGCACGAGACACCCTCTGATGCACTGGCCAAGGCGTTCTGAGCACAGTGAATCATTCTTCTTACACAATCTGATTGTGTGACTCTGCTTATGTTTAGCCAAATTATTTGGAGGAAGATAATGTTTTGCATTTACACGTGTGACACTGTCAGAATCAGTCATCACTGTTAGCTTGATACCAATACTGTGCATATCCGGGTGATCTGGAGGAAGGCATTGTGACCTTGGAGAGAAGCTGGCCTGTGTACAGTCCTTCCTGTTTCATGTGACAGTGCAATGTCACTGAAAATCTGGTTAATTTCTTTTCCCTGCCCCCTAGACTCTCTCCAACATAAATTATAATGATGCTCAAAGTGTCACCAGATTGGTAATTGAAAGAACACTTGGCATCTTCAAGAAGGGTTCAGATGGGGAGATAAATCTATCAAAACACTGCTGAGCAGCTCTTACCAGAAAGTTCCTTACTCCTGTCTGGACCAGCTACAAACTGACTTAATAGGACATGAAGTATGGTTTATACACAGATGAAAAGACACAGATTAATGAGTCAAACTAATTGCTGCCACAAATGAGTATGATATACAAGTTGGAAAGAATTAGAGATACAGGAAGGAACACTAGTTGAGATAACCCTGGATTGGATTCCTTTAAAGGCTAACAGAGGACTGCAGTTTTCTGCCAGGTGTTGATAAATTGTACGCTATGATTTGTTCCTTTGTTCTTATTTCCATTCAGAACATCTCTAATACATTGAGTATCCCTTTTGATGAGGCCATAAGAGAAATACATTTACCATTTAGTATGAATTGGAGAAGTAATAAGCATTTCAATGTCAAAACACAATCTCAAGACCTGGGGAAGAAAAAGGTTTCTTAGACACAATATATTTTTTAAATTAGCCAAGCTTGGTGGCATGTACCTGTAATCCCAGCACTTCCAGAGGCTGAGGCTGGAGGTTCAATGAGCCCAGGCCTTTAAATCCAGCCTGGGAAACATAGCAAGAGCCTATCTCTTAAAAAATTCACTAGCCATAAAGGAAAACTGGACTACATTAAAATTAATAACTATTTCATAAGACACCATTAAGAGTGGAAAAGGTAGGTCACAGCATAGAACATATTTATAAGACCTATATCAAATAAAATATTCAAATTCAGAATATAAAGAATTTATACAATTTAATTAGGAACAGATAAATAATCCAATAGAAATATGGGGGAACCATTGAATGGACACTCAAAAACCTGGTCTTCCAAATGGTCAGTAGCTATATGAAAAGGTTCTGAAATTCAATAGTCAACAGAGAAATAATTTCAAACTACAATGGTGATACCAGTATACATTCACCAGGATGGCGAAAATGACAAAGACAGACAATCCTCTGTGTTGGCAAGGACATGAGTCAATTGGAACTCACATTGCTGGTGAGAATGTAACCTGACATAATTATTTTGGGAAACTATTCTGCAGTATCTGTTAACACTGAATATTGGCACACACTAGGAGCCAGCATTTGCACTCCTAGATATATAGTCAACAGAAACGTGTACCTATATTCACCAAGAATGTGTGCAAGAATTAAGAGCAGCAGAAGTAGCAATAACCAAAATAAAAACCCAAATAGTAGGATGGATGATTAAATTGTGGTATGTGTTCACATAAGGGAAACCCATCCAGCACTGAGAAAGACTACAACCATATGCAGCAAAAGGAATCAATCTCAAAAATATAAAGTTGAGTGAAAGAAACCAAAGAGAAAAGAATCCATACTGCGTGATTTCATTTGTAAAAATTTCAAAAACGGACAAAACTAACCTAAGGAGTTAGTTAGAACAGGCAAGGCTAATTTATAGAGTTAAAAGGTTATGCTTGGAGGGTGATTAGGGACTGGAAAGGGACCCCAGGGGCTCTTGGGGTGCTGGTAATGCTTTGTTTCTGGATCTGTGTACTGGTTACTCACTTGGTGAGGATTTGTGAAATGTACGATTATGATTAGCATTCTTTTCTCAATGAATTTTATACCTAAAAGTTTACATGGAAAGCTCTCCACTGATGAATGAATGACCAAAATGTGGCATATCTATACAATTAAATGTTACCCAGTGTTAAAAAGGAGTGAAGTACTGATATCTACTACCATGTGGATGAACCTTAAAAGCACTGTGCTAAGTAAAAAAAGCCAGTCACAAAAGGCCACATATTGTGTGGTTCCATTTATATGAAATGCCCAGAATAGGCAAAATAATTCAGAAAGCAGACATGGTTGCCAGGGACTGGAGGGAGGGAGAAATGGAAAGTGACCACTATGAATATAGGGTTTCTTTTTGAAGTGATGAAAATATTCTAGAATTAGACAGTGGTGTTGGTTGCACAACACTGTGAATATGCTAAAAACCACTGGAATGCACTTTCAAAGGATGAATCTTATGGTGTGGGAATTAAAGTTCAATTAAATAAAAAACCTTCCTTAGTGTTAGTATATTGTATGCAAAGGCCTACATTTCCACAACCATCAAGATGCATGGACTTTTTCATTGATTTGTCAGCTGACAGAGGCTGGATCATCTGAACTATATATTCCACATTGGTTTGGGTACCCTGGATCAGGAATCCTCAAATTTTACATAGAGCCTGACATTCTCCTTGAAAGCCTTGGGGACTACCAGTAAGCAAACAGTTTCAAACATTTCAACCAATACCAGTGGATTGGAGGAAGTAAAACTTCATGTACATTAATGGGCTTAAAGTCCTGCTATTTCCAATGATTTGTTATTCATATGCCAATAAATACATATCAGTTACAGAACACTTGTTTATAATTTGATTAGGAAAAACTAACACTTGCCTCATGAATGAGCATGAATCAGGGGTCTCAAAATTAATCATACTCTTTGATTTAGTAATTCAACTTCTAGGATTCTGTCCTAAAGAGATAATTAGCAATGCCATCTGGATTAATTTAAAAAAGCATTAACCACAGGGTTGTCCTAGTGAAGCAAAAGTGCCCAAATGATAAACACAAAGAGGGATGGAGGCAGAGACTCGCAGCACACAAGAGATTCTGGGCACGGAGGCCCTGCCCCCACACTTTCTGAAGAACTGAAAAGTGTCCATAATGGATATTAGAATACCAAGCCAGATAGACCCAAGGCCCTAATCCAAGTGCCCCACCAGATATGTGAATTGCGAATTTCCTGTCTCATTCCTTTCCTCCTCTCCCGTCCATTCTTCTTTCTATACTTACCCCAATTGCTCAGGGCCTGACCTTGGCTAAAATCCCTGGAGAGAAGACTGATTAGCTTTTAGTCTTGACCAATTAAAATCAGCTGGGGAGCTTTGATCTGGAAACATCTCTAGAAGGGGCATGAGTAACAATGTTAAAAGTAGGACAATGAAAACAGTTGGAGTGTTAAAACAAGGACATCCTCATTCACTCGCACCAATGAACTCTTTGCCAAAATGTTTATCTCTGCCAAAATGTTTGATCTCTATGCTGTAGATGTGTATAGAAGCTAAGTGAGAGGCAGGGAAAGGCAGAGAAACTGGGCCACCTTGGCTCTCCTTGATTAGCTTCCAATTTGTTGAAGAGGAATAGGGCAGGGCCAGAACAGGTGAGTTTCCTTTAGTAGTACTCCATGGAATTCTAACTTCTGTCTTAATGTAGTAGGAGATAGTCTCAGTATTTAGAGGCTATGTTCTTATAACTTGTTCTACTTTCTATCTTAAAGTCAAAGAGACTCGGTCATCCCAATAATCCAAAGGGATTGTGTAATAACATTTTTTAAATCACTTAATTAAAACTCTTGTTATAAAAGTAGCACATACTTATTATTTTAAAAGTGACATTTACTCTGACACCCTAACTCACTCTCCAAAACAAATAGTTATAACTTCAGTGTTTTTGTATGTATGTAAAAGTATATATGTAGATATATCTAAGTAAAATAAAGCAATTTTTCTCAACCTTTAGTGTAGATCATGCAGTTATTCAAGAGCCTTGCTAAAAATGCAGATGGGGCCCAGGAATTTATGTTTTTAACAAAGATAATGATGAAGGGGGTCTGCACCAAGATAAGCCCCAATAATCACCATCTCCTAGGATTCATTCCTTGTGCTTCTCTTCCTGTATCAAACATGGTTGACTTTAGTAACCAACAGAATATTGCAGACACAATTAAGTACCACTTCTGTGACTAGATCATCAATGTCATTGAAACTTTCACCTTGGATTCTCTTGGGTCACCCCCTCTGGAGGAAGCCAGCTGCTGTGTCCTGAGGACACCCAAGGAGCCCTACAGAGAGGTCATCATGGCAAGGAACTGGGGCCTCCCACAAAGAACCAGTGTCAGCATGCCAGCCATGTGATGAGCCACATGGGAGCAGGTCCTCCATCCACAGTCCAGCCTTCAGATGACTGCAGCCC